GATGCGAGCGAAGGCTGCATAAGGTGACATCATCTGCGACTCCTCTCTCGCCGCATTTCGGAATTACTGGACTTTACCAACCTTATGGAGTGTCACTATGCTTTTTTGTGGCACTTTGGCTAGAGATCTTACTGTGCCAACCGATGAAGTGAACATCAAAAAATTGATGATTATGCTCTAAAATTATGCATAAATGACTATTATGCACTAAATCTCCTCCATAGTTTCCCCACCACTATTCATTCAGCGCTTTCAGATATCTCGTATTGGAATACATTCTGGCCACGGATCTCAAGCAACATTTTGAAATCATCATGACATTCAATGAAAAGGTACCATTTCTCTTCTGTAATCTCTATTGCTGAAATTGCATGGAAATACCTCATTTTCAGAGCAGTGAAATGGAATTGCAAAATGAGTCCGATCGCTTATTAATGGCGAAAATGGTAATCAAAATGGCTGACATCAATAGCCCCACCAAACCGTATGCTCTTCATCGGCAATGGACTGATCGAATCTGTGAAGAATTCTATGAACAGGTTCGGTGGAGCACTCTTGCTAGGCGTTTTTTTTTTCCTCAAATGCACGGTTCTGACAGAGAAGCCTCCATTCGCTGCCTTCATAAAGTATAGTAAACGAAAAAAAACAGGCGCTTTCAAGGCTTTTATTAAATCTCCGTTAACTCGTGCACTGAAATTTTCTTTTCTTGAATGAATTACAACAATAATTATCTGTAGATTACTTGCTGGTCCGTCGGTCTGATGATCAGTGAGCCCATTAAAAATAATAAAAGAGCATAATTACTGATTTGTTCCAAGTTTTGTTGGTGCTGCATCGAACCTTCGATAATACCGTGAGTACCTATTCTACAGAAATGCTCGCTGAGTAAATCAGTTGAAAATTAAAAGGATAAAGGATAAAGTCTTCGCCGTTGATCAATCCCTTTGTGGGATGCGGCACGCATTCTACTTCCATTCAGAATCGTAGTGGCTTATTGAATGCGATGTGGCCTATACAATGACTTGCGGGGCCAGCCGATGTACAAGTCAGTGTTTTATCCTCCCAGACGAATCTGGTACCAATTTACCGTCCCGGAGGGTAGAAGGCTTGGTTGGCCTGGGCGGGAGTCGACCCGGGATTTGAACCCAGGACCGCGCGAGTGGTGAGCGCGCCACTTGTCACTACACCACCTCCTGCCCCAGTTGAAAATTACCTGAACTAATTAGTAGTACGTTCTATTCCCATCAAGCGTAAGTACATACAGTCATCCTTGAGTTCTAATGTGAATGTTCTTGTGCTTAAACCATAGCGAAACTGTCCCAATAGCGCCACTTAGCGGTTACACATGGAGCATGCTGCTCCGCTCAGAGGTGGTATGGGAGAAAAATGGTGCGAGATCAGAGAAATGAGCACAGAACCCTGCGCGATTCGGACGTCTCCCTACTAATTGTTGCAGAGGTATTTTTGAGGAGTACAGAAGCCGATGGACAATTCATTACATTTTAGGGTGACGAAGAGCGAAGGCGAGGCATGCCAATCACTCCCTACATGGACCGTGATGATGCTCAAGTAGCCAAACTCCAAGGACTCATTTATCGCTCATGTTGTCAGTCCTTTGGCACTAGCTATGAATGAGGTATCTTTTATTATTGTGCTAGGTTGGTCCGAAAAGTATCCTTGTTTGGATCTGTACACTGAAAATTTGAGGAGACGGCAAAATTTATGGAAAGGTTTCTGATGATTTGAAAGACTCCCAAAAAGTCTCACAGTTCTTCTCCAGATATTTCGCAACTGCTGAGGTTTCCGACCTTGGAACTATCCCAAGAGAAGTGCAAGAACTCTTCGAGAGTCTTTGGCCATGAAATCTCTCTTTCGAATGTTTTCTTATAGCATTCAGCTTTAACGTTATGTCATAGATATTAGTCAACAAAGTAAAGATCTTATGATTGACTACCTATGTTAAACGGCCTAACGGCCCCATAAGTTCAGAACTCTGGGTATGTGTCAACCTCTGCGAGTCCAACTGAGCAGGACTTTGTGCGACAACTGGACACAAGAAATCAAAACTGCTTGCTGGGGGTCAATAATGCACGGCAAGCAATTTTGATTTCTTGTGTTGTGCTCCCACATGGAGTGCAAATTACATGTCATTTTGTTGTGTTGATGGTTTGTTTCCGAGGGAATGAGGGATTGCCGTTCTATGAATACCATCAGGCCACACTATGCCGCTTCAAATTTATCAGCCACAAAAGATGAAGGAGGAGTCTTCTGAAGCGCAAGAAAATGGTCGTGGCAATGACCAAAAATACATTTCACGCTTTTTCGGGTCTAGACTGCCGGCCAGAGATCCGCACAGCTGGGACTGGTTGTGTAGTACGGCGTTAGACATTCATTCGCCATCATCATGTTCAATAGTTTGTTGACTAGTATACTCGTTTCACTTTCCGAAGATAGGACGTGTCAGGAGGCAGGGTCCGGCTTTGGCGCAGTGCGAGCCTTTTTCAACCGAATTTTTCGCTGGCCCGTCTCAATCACTGCTAGAGGACGGGCCAGCCCAAGCCAAACCCAGCCCTTGTGACACGCCCCGGTCTGTACAGCGAAAACAATGCATGTAAGAGCAGACGAAAGTTGAAAAAAAAGAAATGTGAAGATTGGTGGTGGACACTCGGACCAACCTAAGAAGATTCTGTTACCATCATATGGCAAGTCGGTGAGAGATAATCATTTTTAGGCTGGGCTTCTGCCTATTTTGCCAGGTTTAGTCGAACCTGAGATGATTATCAATCTCAAGCATAACCATCAGAAATGGCTGCAAGAAATTGACACCACGGCGGCAGAGGCAGGTGAGGAATGCAGGTGGATGCTTGATGAATGACGATGATGGAGATAAGAAGCAGATGAAAGTTCCGTTTCTTCATCTGCTTCTTTCTCTATCATCGTCACTTTTTCTCAACCTTTCTATTTTTCTCTAAAATTTCTTGAGTTTACAGTGCTGGGAAACGGAGTGATCGAGGAGGAAAGTTCCACGAGTGACAGCCCTGACAATCGAAAGTGCAGTCCATCACTGGACTCAGAAGTTGAGGTAAGACCACGGGACGCTGTGATCCCATTATTTCATCGCACTGTTAGAAATTCTTTGATAGCTTTAGCATAGTATTTTCATTTCTCATCACTTCTGGACAAAAAAGGAGAAAGGGGGAGCGGAGTAAAACAGACGACTACGACAATTTGAGTGATTTCAGTGATTTCATTCCTGTGTGCCTCATCCCTATGCAATGCCACAATCGTCTTCTACGTCCCTCCTTCTCCCTTTTGTCCTTCTCCTATTTCCGATGCGATCGCCTCTTCTTTCATCGCCCGATCTTTTGCACTAAAATGGTGAGGAACCGCACTAACATCACATTCACTGCACCCAATACCACTAATACCTTGTCTGTTTGTCCTTGCACCGAGTGATCGTCTAAAAGTATAACATCTGGGCCAATAATCGGACGGAAGTGAGCATAAGATGAGATCCTTTCTAGTGTTCTCGGAATATGACATCCTCGCGCTTACCTGGCTCTGACCTGTAGGTGTGTAAATTGAAAAGAAAACCTTGCTCCGTTGTATACCAGCGAAGTCCTGTTTTAAGCCCCAAGTCGCATGTCAGTACTGCTCAGTTGTTCAAATTTGAGGCTGCATTCATACTTTGCGGCAGCGTTCACCAGCGACCAATAGCGTCCACCAGCATTCCGAGCGTCCGGCAGCGTCAGCGACTAGGAAAGCATAGATATCGATCTAGCGTCTGCCAGCGTCTACCAGCGTCTGCCAGCGTCCACCAGCGACCAGCAGCGTCTCGAGGGCTAGGGAAGTATAGGTATCGATCTAGCGTCTGCCAGCGTCTACCAGCGACCAGCAGCGTCTGGGAGTGGAGAGTATGGGGCGATAGGAGGGTAGCAGACAGCTAGTACCCTCCTATCGCCCCTTCTCTACCAGCAGCCTGCTGCTGGTCGCTGGTAGACGCTGGATCGATATCTGTACTTTCCTAGTCGCTGACGCTGCCGGACGCTCGGAACGCTGGTGGTCGCTGGTGGACGCTGCCGCAAAGTATGAATGCATCTTTTCGCTGCACAGACTTGTCTGCCGCTTACACGCAAACGAACCACGTTGGCATGCATGAATACGCTTCAGCGAAGGTGGAAGTTGTAAACTGGCTCAGCGCACCAGAGGCTATAAGTTGAACCCCTAAATCCACTTGTGTTTCAAAGCTCTACATGCTGAACGCTTGCTTTGGTCCGTGTTTGTGTTGCTTACGTGCGTCTGTATGTGTGCAAGTATAGCGTGACTACACGATTGAAAATCCCATCACTGAGCGTCTGTGTTTTTCTATTCAGCACATACTCGTCCAAAAAACTAAAGTGGACCTTGGAAAATTGATCAAACTTCATAAGAGGCATTTTCGAGTGTTCCGGCTGCTCATTTTTTCTTGTGAATTTTTTTAATCCTACAAATTCACGTTTTGACTTCACTGGCCACAACTTACGGTCTCTTTAGGTTTTCCAGGGAAGAAAATTTAGTTCTGTGGCTCTTCGAAATGTGGTGGTGTGGAGGAACTGCTCCAAAGGCTTTGTGGGATGTGGCACGCATCCTACTTCCATTCAGATTTGTGGTGGCTTATTTAAAGCGATGTGGCCTATACAATGATTTGCTTGGTACCAGCCGATGCACAAGTCAGTTCTCCCACCCTCCCAGACGAATCTGGTACCAATTCACCGCACCCGGAGGGTAGAAGGCCTGGTTTGCCTGAGCGGAAGTCGACTCGGGATTTTCCCTGGAGCGCGTGAGTGGTAAGCTTGCCACTTAACACTACACCACCTCCACCCTCGAAAGGCATAAGGCACGGTAATTTGCTAATCGGTCTAGAATGGTGCAGGGGTGCTATATAGTGGGGAAAAGGTCGGAGAAGCGAAGTGAAAGGGTCAAAAACCCTGCTGCAAAACCTTTGTTCTACACAGCTCAGAAGCAATCTCGGAAAATTTCCCAGTCGGTATCGTTCCAAGAACCGCTACTGTAGATACGGCTGCATGCGTGTACTCAGGAACGCCGCTTCTGTCCTGCTAGGCGTTCAATCCTGCACGTCTTAGAGATTTTTCGTGTCATTCGCCTTTGAGAGGGTGCTTTGCCCATCAGCTGGCCAGCAACACATCTGTAGTCACAGCTTAGGAGTAAGCTAATTAGGCGTACACATGCTTCTACGATTTTGAATGGGTCAATTAAAAGAGCCTCATTAGGAGAATTGAGCGAGAATTTCGTGATTCTTTTCTTTTTTTCAAATACGTTTTCCAAGGATATGTCGTTATCAATCAGGAAATGAAGCATACAGGAGAATATCGACCGAGTTTTTTTTTCCACGAGCACCACGGAGCTCGTTGTCCTCGTTTTGCCCTTCTATAATTCGCTTTGGTAAAATGCTGAAAGAAAAAGTGCAACGATAAATCCGTATCAGGCACAGGTGGGGGCCCATCCATCCCCAATCACTATAACAACAGCATTTATGCGCCTTTAATCCATTGGATTGTTTTCAGTCGTCGTCAAAATGTCTTCGTGAATTATTCAAATGCTGTACAAAGACGCGAGCATTGGAGGGAGCACGGCATATGACTCATAGTGGATGATATGGGCGCAAATCGGCGACGGGGGGCATTTTGCTTCCCATCGATGTGTCGCCCCATCTAGGTAGCCTTTTCTTGAGTTGACACGTTTTACCATGGTGGCTAGACGAGCTTGCTCCAGCTTCACAAGAGTTCACAAGTTTCACCAGAGTGAGACTTGTAAACCGGAAGTAGTGAAGCAGTGAAAGTGCAAAATGCCAAAATGCCCCTCCCTGTCGCCGAAGTGCGCCGGTGATACGTTTAAGATCAGTTTCTATACGAGCTAGTATGAAATCGTCAACGTCAATCGTATGCGAGATTATCCCAAGACACTTGGAAGGCTGAACCACATTGGTAACTTTCATGATCTTTCTACCCTCCCAAACTAATT